CAAGTGCAGGAGTTCGTTATTTTATAAAATATATATGGCACATACCAAGCAAAATGTTGAGATGACGTCATCAAATTATTGGTGTGGATGATTAGACAAATTGTCGTTAGCGTTTTTACAATCTAAACAATACGTCTAAAATGCATATAAAATTCGACGGCAATAGATCTGGTTCTGTTGGTTTCGAAGATTATATATTTAATAAAAATCGACACAGATGACAGACAGACAGGTCGACGACAAACGATAGACAGACGGACACAGGAGACTAGATTCTTATTTGTACTCTAGGCCGCGAAAACATTAAAGTAGCCCGCCACCCGATGACCCTACTACAATATTTACTTCGCTCGAGAAATCAAAATCTGTTAAATTATTTATTTACATGTAACTTCCCTCGCTTTTGAAACACAGCGAATGCACAATAGATGGTATTTTCAATTAACGGTAATTTAATAACTTGTTGAAACGACGCACCATGATTAATTAATTCGTTGGAATAGTTGCAATAATAATAATTTGAACAGCCACAATGGGATATTTATAGTTAAACTGACATTAATTGAAATTATATATTTCACACAAGTTTACAAAAAAAATAAACTCTAAATTATTTAAAATTTTAGTAATATATAGTTACTCTTATTTTAACAATTTTCGAAGCTGAAAATAACTAATAATTTATTGCTATACTTTCATTAGTTAAAATATGTATTGATTTGAGCCCAGATGAGGTTTACTACACACAAGCTCAATTATTCAAGCAGCAACATCTGCTTCCACTACTTTACTTACGAAATCCCAACAAAGTTATCAGTTTATGTATGCAAAGCTTTTGATCTAGCTGTAACTTGACAGTAAGCGTTCCTTTACTTGTGATTGAATCATGTATACAGGGTCGCTAAAAAGTATGGAAGCAGTTGAATATCTCAAGAACGGTTTGGTGACTCTTTTTGAAATTTGGGCTGTTCCTAGGAATACTCTAGACAGACAGTAGTACAATAGCAAGAGATATTTACAACTTAAAGTTGTCGCGTGCCGGTAATCCTTACATGTTAGAAAGCAGAATAATCTATGTCCAGACAGGGACGATCGTTACTCATGAACGAAAATGGGCATTATTTTATGAGTACAACTACCCGCTAAATGTTCTCCGACAAGTTCCGGTGAACTGGCATGAGCCGTAAATATTTCTTACCATTGTACTACTGTCTGTCTCGTGATTGTCAATAAAATTTTATAGGGTATATATGACGCATTAATGACATCAACGCCAGCGTCGCGATATTTTTGTAAATTACAACAACGATGATATACACTTAGACATTTATTTAATTTTTAATAAAATAAAATTTAAATATAAACATAAAAAAATTAATTTGAGTGAAATAAATCACTACTTGCACTTTATTCTGTAATCAATAGTTGCAAAAATAATTATTTTAGCATATGTTTGACCTGTAGTAAAATAGTGGTGGTTCTTTATTTCCCTGTATTTTAATTTTTTTATGTTTGTAAATTTAATTTTTTTATCAACTGAAAATGAAATAAATATTTTAGTGTTGCATATCATTCTAATCGTAATCTAATTATCTATCAAAATCTGTTGACAAATATATACATTTTAATTTTAAAACTATAGGTTTGTGTCACAACCCCGACGTCATGTGTGTTTCATAGTTGCAACGTTTTAAATTAACCTTCAAGCTAAAAGGAATGGCGTTTAAAGAATACCAATATTTCTATCCTTTCTCAAGAAACTAGGCCACGGAGTTTTAGCTGAAACACCATGTATATTATTTTTATTCAGTTTTAATGCCTTTTTTGCTTTGCTGAAGAAAACTCAATCTCTTCATTAACTTCATTCCTACTACTTTGGAATTTCTATCTTTACAAATCCAGGTGTCCATTTTTACTTCCCGAGCGTAAGCGAAGGAAGTATTGTAATCGAGTCCGTCGGACAAATTGCCCCTTTTATGTTTTCTCGACCTACAGTACGAAAAAATAGGTCTTCCTTTTCCGTCCGTCTGTCCGTCTGTCTGTCTCCCGTCACGGATTATTATTAGACAGATAATTTCCGAAAGTACTGAGCCAATTGTTGTCAATTTTTTTATTTATATTAGCAATATCATGTAGATGGTAAAACGCTAACTAAAATTTGTCTAATCATCCCTACCAATAATGTGATGACGTCACTTCAAAATTGTATATAGTAAATGGGCTTTAAATTGTATAACATAACATAGTCCTACACATGTAGTTTATGACTCCGTGTTGAGTTTTTACCAGAAACGTCAAGATTTTTGGAAAAAAATAGAGATTATAAAACAACATTTTGCAATCTAATTTAATTGCAGATATTTTAAGATTATGATAGGCATTATAAATTTTTAATCAAAACATTCATATCCCTTCCAAAAAACTGATGACGTCAGCTCAAAATTTTGCCGAATAAATCCTATCTAAAATGTCTAAAATATGATCAGTCTATACTTGTAATTTATCATTGCATTCATATCTTTTAGAATTGCTTATACAGGGTGACTCAGACGTTTTCGGAGTCATTGTAACCATGGTAAATTGTTAATCAAAATAAATTTGTTTATTTCCCTCAAAAAATTGATGACGTCTCAAAATTTGCCGAATAAATTCTACCCAAAATGTGCAAAATATGTATGATGAGTTTTTAACTTGTGATTCATCATTGCATTCACATTTCTCATTGATCAAATTTAGAATGGTTCACCCCATTTTCCCGAAATGTGATAAAACAAACGTCTTTATTTAATAAGAATTGTAATAATGATATTCAGAACATTTTCTGGATTGTACCTTACTACTTAATAATTTTGATCCCCTGTTTTGAGGGAACGAACTCATTCAAATCAAACTAATTTCTACATGACATTCTTCCGATGTATAAACATAAACACTTTCAAGTTGTTTTTCTTATCGAGGATAAGCTAAGGACGTACAGTAATGGAGTCCATCGGGCAATTTGGTATTTTCATATTTTCTGGATATTTGATTATCCCTCGACAAGGCCGGAGCTAGAGGGAGCCTAGGTAATGCTGAGCCTTCCCTAGATCTAGTCTCTAATCAAAATAAAATTTAGCGCACTCTCTGTAAAAAGTTACTGACGTCATCCCAATAATTTGTTAAGTTTGTCAAAAAATACGCTTCAAGATAGTGTGATTTGTGTTTTATTAATTTATTTTAAAATCATTTAAAAACATTAATGAATAAATCAGTCAAAAGTGGTTTATCCAACTTTGCAAAAATTCTGGAAACACATTATGACTTTTTAAAGTATTAAGATTCCCTCAAAAAAAAAAAACAGTATGGGATCAACTTTTACTATTTATCCAAGAGACTGAATGTTTGAATGTGCTTCAAGGACGAAGAAAGTTCGCTCTAAATAACTTTAGACCACTTTTTAAACACGTACTTTTAGAGAGTTTGCTTGTGTCTTTGGTCTTCCATTATCAGCAAACAGTAGTATGCATGCTAAAGATGACTTATGAGAAATGTGTTCTTATCTTATTACTTTCTAACCTTTAAATAAAATGTTGTATGTATGTATTTTATACGAAAACTATATATAAAGAATCCCGTCTTTATCCGGGTAAGAAATGGTAAGCCGATATTTATCCCTAGTTTTCGTCTTTCTCAATTTCACACCCCTCGAGCATGCCCCATTTTATACCCGCAAAATTCCTTTCCTTCAAATAAATCATACATATGAATAAATAATCATGATACTGATCACCGTTATTGAGAAAGAAGAGCCAATGTTAATTACATAAATACAGAGTGTTCATAAAACTCCGCACACATCTTATAATTCCGACATTATAAAAGATTTTTTTAAATGGCAACCCCAACTTTTTCTTTTTCGGATTCTCATAGATCTTTTTAAGTTAAATTATGGTCGCAAAAAAAATTAGTACTTACACAAGCATTTTTTTGGAAAACAAAAATTCGATTTATTAATACGATTTAAACCGAAATTCTACAATAAAACTAACGTAATCCCTTGCTAAAATTTATCTAACCGTAATTGTATGCTGACAACAATAATAAATCTGTGTATTTGTCTTCAAAACATATAATACGGATTTTTCAAATAACCAATTCAATTACAGTTATAATTTCCTAGAGCGCGGCAAAAACATCTTAAAACAAAAATAGATGAATGTCAAGTTTACTACTCGCAAACTGTAAATCTCTTCAGTGTACTAACACACGAAGCGGACACATTTAATGCGTTTAAATACGTAAAGTTTTTTGATTGAGAAAACCAACAATAAAAAATCTGCAAAGTTATATATTTACACATAACTTGCCTCGTTTCTGAAGTATAGCAAGTCCAATATGACTTTTGCAAAATTAGAAAAGTCGTTTCTAATAATAATCATTACTCTGTAACGTAAATCGACCATGTATTGTATTTGAAGAATCTTACTCCAGTAGAAAAAATAAAAGCGTTTTACTTCAAAAGTTCAAGCAACTCTTACTTTAGACTATGTTTTTCAATAAAGAATTATTTTATAGTTTTTAAGATAAAGCTAACAACTTTCGAAGACGTTTGTTGTCTGATAGCAGAAACTGCAGGTTTGAAACTGACAGGTTGAAAATTCCCATTATACAAGTTTTATAAAATGCGACTGAATTCTTCTTCCACCGGATCATTCAATTGCTACACGACGGGAAATTTTTCAGCTTTGAAATCCTAGGATTCTACTAACTTTTACATGTTTCTTTAATTTTCGTAATAATTGACTCTTGCCTTTAAAGAGGTTGCATTGTCCTACCTTTCTTTTTCTTTAATTTAATTAAGCACACAACTACCGAAATGTTTATGTCTGCTATTTCCGGAACGTTTTATTCTTAATTGTGTAAACCTACGTATCTACACAACAAAGTTGTAAAAAGAACTAAGTTTGTGACAACAAATAAAATTTTATCGAAACTTCTAAAACACGAGGAAAAACATTTACCTGCGTGGACTCAATTCCGGAGTCATTGTGATGGCTGATTTCAAAACACGTGGAGTGTTGAGAGGTGGCATCTTCGGCACAAACTGGGAAAACAAAACTCTGTCCATCTGCTTCGCCTCTCGGAGAATCCGCACTCGGCCAAACCTGGATCAGTGGTAAATATTTCATTATCAACGAGAGTCTGAAATTGGAATACTAGTCAACAAACAAAACTATATCGAAAATAGCGGAATTTATTTGGTTTATGAGTGCGCTGGGAAAGCGGCTACATCACTAAAAAAATTCTGGTTTTAGCGGTCGTTTTAATCCGATTTACTTGGTTAAAAATAAAAATAATCTGTTTTGAAAACGTTTCCCAATAGTCTGAATAAAATGTCCTCCGTTTTTCATCCAACAAAAATAATTTTTATTACCCATAAAACTTTTTGAGGATCCTTGAGTCAGAGCGGAATGGATACGCATGCATTGTGTATAGGATTTTTTTACTGTGGTGCGTTTTTTGCCATGACGCATGGACGAAGGCAGAAATGCTGTGACATGGTAAAAAAAATTGGCGTCAGTGATGCCGCGAAATTTCCGCTACTTAAAAAATAAACTTAAGGACTCCGAAAAATCAAATCTTTTAATAGAAAGATGCATTTCAGAAACAAAAATTAATTTTGCCGACAGCTCATAAAATTTTATTTAGTTTTTATGCAACTATCGTTAACAGAGTTAGACAACACTATTAATAACAAACACAATAAACGTCCAGACAGGATCTGTTTGTAGTCATTTTATTTCACACTGTTTGATATATCTTTGTTTACAGCATCAATTCAAGTTCGGTAAGCAAGTTACAACAGTGTGGGGCCAATCAGACCACACATTTTTTTATGAATGTGTGCCGCCTCTTCCAGACGAGGGCACAAAAACTCAAGCCTCGTTTTCAAATCACTTATGAATAATAATTACAAGCTGTCATTGCACAGAACTGTTCAGAAATCGAGAAATTATAGTTAAATTGTGTGAGCAGAAGTATCAAATGGACCAATCGGAAAAGAACATCTCGATAATCTCGATTATCTCTAATCTTCACTTACATCATTAAATGTAGACACCATTCAGCAGAATAAATGAAGACCCTTTCCAATTTAAAAACAATTACCAAAAAGCTGTTAAAAAGGTTCTTTGATAATGAACTTTTAAAGTTTTGTAGCTTTCTAGTTAAACCCTGCTACGCCACTGGAGAAGAGGTTTATTTCCTGATTTATACTTTTAACTGAATTTCAATATCAATTGTTTAGAGCAGTGGTTCTCAGATTGGGCGGAACCGCCCCCTGGGGAAGCGCTGGTGGGATTCAGTGGGACGCATAAAGCTCCTGGGGAAAATTGGGGGCGTTTAATCAATTGCAGGGGAAGCACGAAAAATATCTGGACAACAAGTACTATTTGAGTTGAGTTGAATACCGACACTTTGTCAAGAATTATAGGTTATGGAGCAAACATTTTGTTGCATTTCCTTTGTCATATTTAATGCAATACTAAAAATTTGTTAACTAAAAAAAGAAATTGATTACAAATAACTAATCGCGATGATTTACACATGCTGTTGACAAAAAAGGCCCTGGTCAATATATATAAATTGATAGGATGGCATCAAAGCGATTTTACACATCAGCACTAGGATTAGGTATTGTTACGTTGATCGGTGAATAAAATCAGCATAGGTAAAACTCAACAATTTATTTCTTACTAACTCGAATTTACACGACTTATTACAGCGCGATTATGTACAAAATAATTCCGGCGCAACTTCACTGTACTCTCGTGGACTGAATTCACTGAATAATAACCGTTCCTGACGGTGGCCTCGATTTAAACCTATTCGTTCCTCTCGAGGGTTCGAGAACGCCGCTTCGAGGGTTTTCTGGGCCCGTCGCGACAACTGCTTCCAGGCTTTCCTTTACAGAACGCCGTGCAGTCCGGCCTATGAGTTATACTACATACTAGAAGACCCATTGGCGTCGTACAGAGGCGGCGTATGGGTTTATTTCGTAACAGTATTTTAAAATTGTTGTTCGTAATTCGTAGTGAATATTTTGTTTTCTTGGTTGGAATATTTTGTTAACAATAACACTTTTTGTTTTTGTATGCTGAAAGTATCAAGGGAGGTACAGTAATTTTCTTTTTGAAAAGGGGGCGGTGAGCCAGATAAATTTGGATACCGCTGGTTTAGAGTGACGAAAACTACCATCGCTGTGAACCGCGACCATGATAAATCTAAGGATACAATAACCCAGTTGGTGTGATGTGACAGGACATTGGACAGTTTAAAGATTTCAGTAGATTACAATAATAACAATTAGTATCTATATACTTATTTCCAAATCTGGCAAAATTAAAAAACTAGGGTGAGTTAGCTAGGAAGGGTCACCTCGAAGAACTTTTTTATTTATGAACCTATCTTAATGGAATTTAATCTAAAATAAAGAGGAATATGTATGCATCAGTTGATTAACATGAAATAATTAATTAACAATACATTAATAAAAAAAATCGTCACAAAAAAAATTTGCTGAATTTTTATTTTACTATAAAACTGAACAAAAAACCTTCTGCAAATTTCAATATTTATTATTTTTGATACATTTTCTTTGTTTTTGAAAAATAATATTTTCCTAAAGTATTTTTAGCGGTTTGTTTTCCAAACACGTTTATTTTTGAAACTCATGGAACTATTTCATCTATTATGCTGTTCTGAACAATCCAATCCAACACTTTACCAAATTTTAGTGTTCTCAGTGAAGCTAATAAATCTAATTCAGAAATGTATTTATACACGCTGGCTATTACTTTCCATTTGTAAATTTAATGTGAGCCGATCCTGATTTAATCAATAAAATAAATAGTCTCATGCATTAATTATTTGAGCCGCCTACATAAGCCAGTCTAAAAATTATTAATGCAGTGATAAATCACAAGCAAAAACTCATCATATTCTGCATATTTTAGGTAGGATCTATTCAAAAATTTGAAATGACGTCATCATTTTTTAGGGGGAGTAAACAGATATATTTTGATTAAAAATTTACTAAGTTGACAATAACTTTAAAACATCTATCAAAGCATTCAGTTTCAGAATTCCTGATTTTATGAATAAAATAAATTGAATCATCCATTATTCTTTTTGAATTACCTCGTATAAGCAAATCTAAAAAATATGAAAGCAATGGAATTATCAATTCCACGCTACGGATAGATACCATGTTTTTTGAACTAACAAAATTTGAGAAATCTCTGAACTCCCTCAATAGCACTTATATGAATGAAATAAAATGGATGCCAAATAATACATGCATAGTTATTGTAAACCTGCAACAACATAAGAATTAAACAATTAATAATTTTGACTTTTTTCCAAAAATCTGGACGTTTCGGGTAAAAACTTAAATGGATTCGTAAACTACACGTGTAGGACTATATTATTTAATACAATTTAAAACTCTTTTACTATGTACAATTCTGAGGTGACCTCGTCAGATTCCTGGTGGGGATCATTAGACAAAACTTGGTTAGTGTCTTAACATCTACATAATATTCATAACACACGTATAAAATTTGACAGCAATCGGTCCGGTAGTTTCGGATTTGGTTGTCTAACAAAAATTGGCATAGATGGCGGACAGACAGACAGAAACGGAAGATCCACTTTTTCGTACTCTATGGATTATGACCCCTCGAGAAAATATGAAAACAGTCAGTCACCTAATGGGCTCTCTTACAATACTTCCGTAGATTACGATCAGGAAGTAAAAATATATTATCGTGTTTGTTTCGCTTTAATATTTTTCAAATACAAAAAGATTTAATTACTCACTCAATTTTATTCACCCACTGTAAATAACTTATTATCTTACTTTTAAACTTCAAGGGATAAATGGAGAAAAGAATAGCTTTATTTATTTTCAAGGAAAAAGTATGGTAATTTTGAATTATCTTGAGGGACAAACGGACATATATTAATGAATTGAAGGGAAATTTAATTTTAGAATGTTGGCCACACTGTAGTTGTGTAACCGAAATAACCTGTGTTTGGTTTTCAAAGCGATTTTTTTTTAATTTTTAGAAATAACTCTGGACGAAAATTTTGACGAAAAACTGTTAGGTTAATAAGAGATACATGGAACTTTCGATTGGTCCAAAGAAACTAATGACTAGGAGGATACTTAAGTCAAATTCTGCTTTCGTAAATACCAGACGAGTAACAAAAAATAAGAGATCGTGACCATTGAAAACAAAAAAAAAAAAAAATAGAACGTGTGGTCTGTTTTGTCTCAGATATTCTTTCTAGGATAGCGACTCTTGTATCGATAATAAAATTACGAATATTTGACCATCCACCCACTTGGTTCCACTGTTGAAGTCATGATCCTGGATAAATCCAGTCAATTCCAATTACAAAGTGAGCTTATGTTGGCGTAAACAAACTAATGGAGTTTACACATGGTTGATGTCTTATTTTTTATTTAATGACTAATAACACGAATGATAGCCACTGGGTTGCAGGTACACTACAATCCGTCTTTTCATGTTATCAAAAACACATTATTAGCGTCTCGGTTGCACTAGTTTCCAGTTTTGCTTTTTAGTTCTTCAATAGCATGGACAGATTATTTTAAAAACAATATCTTTCAAGTGGATAGGGAAGGCGTGGGGTCAGGTTACCTTGCAGTCCATAGATCCTGACTAAGTATTCTTTCCTCTTAAAATTGTTGTAGAAAAGCTAGAGTATCCCTGACTGTACGTGCAGTGGCCCCATCCTGCTGGAAGAATCCTTCCCTAATTTATCATATAATTAGTTAATGAATACATCTAGAATATTGGTTCGGTATCTTTTTGCTATTATAGTGTCTTAAAAAAATGAGTCCAATCAATTTTCGTTGCAAAATGCCAACTCACACTTCAACTCTTTAACGGAGGTACTGAGGACTATCTGTTTAACACATTATTAAACCAGTTACCGTTGAAAAATTGCAATATCTACCTCAGTACGAATTCAGGTTTTCTTTGAATGCTATGCTTCAGTGACTGGGCAAAGTCAGCCTAAAGAACAGTAACATTTGCAAATTTTACTTAAAATTCCTTGAAAACTGGTTGAATTT